CTGGCTAACACAGTGAAACCCCGTCTCTACTAAAAATACAAAAAAAAATTAGCCGAGTGTGGTGGTGGGCGCCTGTAGTACCAGCTACTCGGGAGGCTGAGGCAGGAGAATGGCGTGAACCCGGGAGGTGGAGCTTGCAGTGAGCTGAGATTGCGCCACTGCACTCCAGCCTGGGTGACAGAGCGAGACTCTGTCTTAAAAAAAAAAAAAAAGAAATTAAAATATTTTGAGGGCCCCTAAAAGTATTGTGGGCACTGTGCTACTGTCCCTAATGGAGAAGTTGGCCCCGGTTAGATCCTTCTCATAATTTCGGCCTCAGTTTAAATGTCACATACTCCAGGGGTCCCCAACCTCCAGGTCACGGACCGGTACCACCTGAGTTCTGCCTCCTGTCAGAGAATGCTTTAGATTTTCATAGGGGCGTGAACTCTATTGTGAACTGCGCATGCAAGGGATCTAGGCTGCGTACTCCTTATGAGAATCTAATGCCTAATGATCTGAGGTGGAACAGTTTCATCCTGAAACCATCACCACCACCCCGACCCCCACCCTGGGTCCATGGAAAAATTGCCTTCCATGAAACTGGTCCCCGGTGCCAAAAAGGTTGGAGACCACTGACCTACTCCAAAAGGCCTTCCTTGAAGCCCCCATTTAAAATATCTCCTGGTGGAGCATGGTGGCTCGTGCCTGTAATCCCAGCACTTGGAAGGACAAGGCAGGAAGATCACTTGAGCCCAGGAGCTCGAGATCATCCTAGGCAACATAGTGAGACCCCATCCCTACAATATATTATTTTAAAAATAGCTGGGTGTGGTGGCTTGCTCCTGTCGTCCCAACTACAGGCTGAGGTGGGAGGATCACTTGAGCCCATGAGTTTGAGGCTGTAGTGAGATACGATTCTCACCTCTGCACTCCAGCCCTAGTCTGGGCAACAGAGTGAGACCCTGTCTCAAAGATAAAATATATCCCATATCCACTTGCTGGCCCATTACCCCAATTTAGTTCCTTCACAGAATTTACACCATCTGACAATACCTTATTTATCTGTTTATTTGTTCCGTATCTCCTGTAACTAGAATGTAAGCTCTATGAGGGCAGGGACTTTGTCTTTCCACTGCTGAATAACCTGTGCCACCAGCAACAAGGTCTATAAAATTGGTGAAAGAATAGCCTGAATTGCTTGAACAGAACATAGAGTCCCTCCTCTCAGCCACCCTAATATCTGTGCTCTTCCTTATTGGGCCCCCTCAGACTTTACTAGGGTAGAAGGAAGAAGGGAATTCATGCACAGGCCTCACACACAATCCACCTGTCCTCTCAGAACCTCAGTTTCTTCATCTGGAAAATGGTAATAGTGCTGACCCATTCTGAGAATGCAACAAGATGGCATACATAAAGCAAAAGACCAGCGCACAGAGAGGGTGCAGTAAATTCAAGCTTCTTTTCCCCCTTCTCACTGTCCACCTTGGAGCTTGTTCTTGGCTAAGGCAAAGGAACCTCAAGGCCTTGAGGCCTAAATACCTCAAAACACAGTAGGTGCTCAATAAACATTTGCTGGTTGCTGGTTGACCACATCCCTCCTTCCCCTTCCAGCAAAATCTTAAACAGAAGCCCAGTGGAAATTCACAACATCGTCCCCACTTGCTCTCTTTCTATAAATATTTACAGAGCCCCTACTATATAACAGGCACCATGCTGGGCTCTATAGAATCAATAATAAGTAGAAAGAATATATGGTCTCTATCTTTCCTAGAGCTGGGTCCCATAGTCTGGTCTAGACAGACATTAATCAAATAACCACTTCCATGGAACTATTATTGTGCTAAAAACATCACAGAAGGGGCTCACCTGGCTGTGAGAACACATGATGGGAGAATTTGACCAGACCAGAAAGGTTGGGGACAGCATTCCTGAAGAAACAATGACTGACCTGAAATCTCTAAACAAGTTGGACTTTATTAGGCAAGGAGCCTAACTGGGCAGTAGGAGCACTCCAGGCAGTGGGAACAGTATGTGCAAATGCCCTGTGGTCAAAGCTATGCTAGGCAATGAGATGGACTAGAAGGAGACATAGGTGGCCATATGATATAAGATGGGCTGTTACGGTGGGCAGTGTCTGCACTGGGTAGGACTTTGTAAGCCACATTATGTCATTTTCTCTTTGTCTGCAGGTTCCTCAAAGGATTTTAAGTCATATGATTAGGTTTGTATTTTGAAAAAATTACTCTGGCTGCCTACAAAATATTTACTATTTATTTATAGATTTATAATTTATAACAAAAAGATTCTACAGTCCTACTAGAAGAGAAATGGCAAATATATGCCATACTTGTCACAATTCCCTATTCTCATGCCCAGAGCAGACAGCACTAATCAATTACAGCAGATGTTCTCAAAGTGTGGTCCTCAGACCAGCATCATCAGCATCACCTGAGAATTTCTTAGGACTGCAAATCATCAGACCTCACACCAGACCCCTTGAATGGGAAACTTTAGCGGTGAAAGCCAGCAATCTGTGGCTTAACAAGTCCTCCAGGTGATTCTGATGCACACTGGAGTTTGAGAAGCACTGAACTATTATATAACACTTTCCTATGAAGCCCCATGCAGCATCAAAAACCTCAACACAGCACTCTAGGCTATCACTACTAATAAAGGCTACTTACACAGAGTGCTGGGCTGGGGCTCCTCAGAGGGGGCTGCACAGACCTAGGTCTGGAATTTGAGAAGCGAAGACCCTGACAAAGACCTAAACATGGGCAAACAGCCAAGTGTGCCAGGAAAGAGAGCACTGGACGGAGTCTGGAGATCTGGCCTCAAGCCCCTGCTCAGCCCCTGCTCAGTGGCAGCACAAGCTTAGGAGCCTCTTCTCCCTTCCAGGTCTCAGTTTCCCCATCTGTGCATTGAAGAAAATTTCTCTGCGCAGCGGCCCATTCTCCTGCAGCCTCCAAGCCAGGGTGAAGCAGATGCACATGCAGTCCCTGGGGAAAACCCCTATAAATCTGCCTTCCCACAGGGGCCAGGAGTGAAGCAAGGAGCGCAGCAGTAGCAGAGATGTTGCCCAGAGCTTGCAAGAGGCACACATGACTCAGCCCTTCAAGGAAGCATCCATCACCCTGGGCAGCCAGCGAGGCGGCGGGAGAACCACGGGAGGGACAGTGTGGGAGTGAGGGAGTGAGGGAAGAAGGAGGCGGGGCTCTTAGCCCCGTTTGCTCTACCACTTTCCCAGACCCAGGACCCATTAACAGACAAGAGGACTCTAAGCGCAGAGATGAGGGAAACCTGAGATAAAGAGTGGGATGAGGGGCAAGGAGTCCAATTCTATGAAACCATGCAGAATGCAAAAAATGTGGCCCTGAACTACTTACAAATCCTGAGACTACTCACAAGAATGCCTCCTCCACATGCACACTCATCTGGCTTCTTCTCAGCTCACATGTCTCAACCCAAATGTCACTTTACCAGAAAGACCTTCCCTGATGAGCCATCTATCCCCCACCCGCCTGTGACCTTTCCATTATCTTCATAGCTCAGATCACTCTTTGGAATTCCCCATTGATTTGCTTCGTGGCCTATGGTCATCTCCAGCATCCTCCTGGGATGGTAGCTCCCTGAGGGCAGGGGCCTCCCTGTTTTATTCTATCACCTGCCCCTAGAACAGCGTTTGGCACAGAGTGGGTGCTCCACAGAGCTCCCACTTACCATGTGCCAAGAACTATTTGAGATGATTTGCATACATTATTTTGTCATGTCCCAACAATCTTGGAAATAGAAGGTATAATTGTTTATCATTTTTTCAGATGGAAACACTGAAGACAGAAAGAAGTGATTTGCTAAAGGTCACACAACCAGGAAGTGGTAGAGTCCCTGTTTGGGCCTAAATCTGTCTGACCTCAAAGCTCAGAACATTTGCAATGTAGGAGCCGAGGGGCTATTAGAAACCTTGCAGAGGGGTGAGGCGGTAGTGTTGGCCCAAACTTCCCAAGTTACTGCTAAGGAAGCATCAGCCCAGAACCAGGAGGTCCCTTCTAAAGCTGTTGTTACTTAATTTAGGATTTCTAAAGGGAAGTCCTGCTTTACACAGCTGCTGTCCAACTTCTGGAATTTGTTACCCCCAAGGGGTCTTCACAAGCTGAAAATAGAATGGAGTTCAGAAAGGGCTATACAAAATTAATGGATGACAGGTCCCCAGCGGTAATTAAAGGAAGCAAGAGATGCTGGGGGTTTGGGCCTAGACGTTTGAGGTCAGCATCATGCTGGGGACTGCCGTGGTCTCCCCCAAATGGGTCCCGGGTGCCCCAGCAGAGTGAGCCAAGCCGCAGACTGGGAAGCAGTGGGGAGGTGAATTGTATCAACGTCCCCGCCCACCCTGGCAGGATTTGGCCGCCTGGCTGCTCCCTCCTCCCATCCCCAGGCCCAGCTGGGCTGTCAGGGGTTGTGTCTTGGCTTGCTGACTCACTCACCTGGCCAAGATGGTCAATTTGCCCATGTTCTCAGTATTTTCTTTGCTATTTTTTTAAAAATAAAATGCTATTTGTGCAAAGTCTTCATTACTTCCTAATTATTCATACTCCTGCCACTTATTTGTCTTGTTAAATACCAAACTCAATAAGCAGTTCACTTTTCTCAGATTACTTGTGAAGTTCAAGCTCATGCCCCTTTGCTCAGGTTAGCCTAGGGTGGGAGAGGCCCCTGTGACCCCTCCTCCCTAAGCATGGAGCCCCCACTCCCTAGTGACTTCCCTCCAGCCAGCTCCCCTATAGACCTCCCTGGGATCGCACTGCATTATTCGGCTGTCCTGGCCTCCCCACTTCTCCTTATCTTCCCCTCTCCATCCAGAGCTTCTCCCTCTGTGCTCTCTTCCCCCACCCCTCCCTTCTCCCTCTCTTCCTTCCTTCTATCAGTCTATCCACCCTCCTGTGGCCTCCTCTACCTAACCAATTTATTTGTCCTCGTCCTCTACCTGCCCCCTCCTTCCCCAGACTCCTCCCCTCCCCTCCCCTCCCTCACACAGCACGTTCACACCCAGGAGCTACCCTCAGAGCCTCAGGGGTCTCTCTCACCCTACCCACCTCCTCCTGAAATATCATCCACAGGCCTCAGTGATGCTGCATTGCTGGCTGCTCCAGCAGGTGGGTGCTGCGGTTCTCTTCACTGATAATTCATTCCCCCTAGCCCTGCATAATCCTCCTTAAATTAGTTAATCCCCAAAAACTCACTTCTTCAAGCCCAAGAGCAGCAAGGAGGAGTGGGATGGGTCCCTAGGACTGTAAGTCCCTAGAGTACTGGGGCCAGGATGCGGTCCCTATTTCAGCCACGCTGGAGTGTCAGGGATGCGACTAGCAGCTCGCCGCAGATCCTGCTGACAGGCCAACTTTATCCCAGGTACGGGAGTCTTGTGGCCATCAAGGGGTAGGTGGCTATGATGGGGGAGTTGCTAGCTGGACCTGAGCCCCTTCTTCCAAATAACAGGCACCCTGGGCTCTCTGGTGGGGGCCTGATTTCTGCCTGGGTTTTTGCTGCTGTAGTTTCCAAATGCTCAGACACCCGCATGTATGTCCACGTGGCCATGTTCACATGGCACACACATCCACCTCACACATCTCTACACACTGTATACATCAGAACAGGGCTTCTCTAATTTGGGTGCACCAGAATCACCTAGAAATCCTATTTGAGTGCTAAGCCCCACTTCTTGGGTTTCTGATTCAGTAGGTTTGGGGAGGGGCCCTAAAGTGTGCATTTCAAGCACATCAAGTGCTGCTGATGCTGCTGGCCCGAGTACCACACTCTGAGAACCACTGCTCTAGAGATGCCCACATGTGCATACACACAAGAGTACACGTTCATGCACAGGTTTTGCAAAACGAGGAGTGAAGCTACTAGGAAGAACTGAAGCTGTGAGCTCAGTTTGGGGATTACTCGACCTAAGAACACAAACTCGCAATCTCCTTTTCTCTCTCGGTCTCTGATTCTTGCTACTTCTCCACGGTCTCTGCCTCTCTTTCTCGGTCCCCCACCCGCTAACTCCCTGCAGCCTCCAGGTGTCCTCCCAGCCCCTTTGCACACATGAGCTCATCCATCTCCATCACCCAGCAAGTGAGTGGCAGGCAGGTGAGAGAGGAAGAATACAGAAGAACAGGCTCAGCTCCCTGCTCACAGGCAGCTCGCTCACCATGAGAACACAGCCAAATATTCCTCCTGTTCTGGGGGATAATCATTAATGCCACAGGAAATTCTAAACAAGCGATTAAATCACTACTGGGGAAGACGCGAGCCTGTGCCACCATTAAGCTTCCCTTATACTGTTGGTTTTGAGAGAGCTTACCTGGGAAGTGAGAAGAAAGGGGCAGATGGGCATCATCACAGCCCTGCAGCATCACCAAGAGCCAGTCTGCCAGGGGCCAGCCCTAGAACCACCTTCCCCTCCCTGAGCTGCACACCCAGCAACTGTCTGAGAGCCCCTCGTGCCCTACCCGTGATGAAGACTCTGTTCCTCCAGCCCTTCACGATCTCATGCCTCCTGATGAATCCATTTACTCAGTTGACAAATATTTACTGAGCATCTACTATGTGTGAGGTTATAGTCTAGGGACTAGGGATACAATGGAGAACAAGACAGATGAGGTCCCTGTCCTGGTGGACAGGGTCTAGTGGGGAAGGCAGATCATAAAAAAGTAAATAAGAAAACAATTAACAAACGTGGCAAGTGCTCAGGAGAACACAAACAGGAGACTCAGTGTTTTCAGTGGAGTGTATACTGACAGGATCTTGGAGTCCCCTACACTCTAACAAACAGCCTGGCAGTCTATACCCATCTCTTGGGCCTGCAGATCATGTCTTATATGAACATCTGCAATGTCTGTGCATCCCTCTTCTTATCCTGAATCCCCAATATGCTATCTTTGGAAAGATAACAAATATCTATCTATAACAGCCACTGTTTTTTAGCACTTACTATGTGCCAGGCATTGCACAAAGCAATTTATGGTCATTACATCATTTCATCTGCAGAACAATAATAACATTATGACGTGGGTGTTTTTTAATCCCCATTTTACAGATGAGGAAATGGAGACCTGGAACATTTGAGTCATTTGGCCAGGCCATACAACAGGCAACTGAGGGTTCAACAGATGTCTGAGTCCTGAGCTGAGGCATTTCACCCCTACCTTGTCCTAACTCCCAAGAGAAACATGACAGGGCTGTGTGGGCTTCTCAGGATCTATTTCAGGGCTAAGGAGGTGCAGCTGGGTCCCTGGAGAGATGGGGCTGCATTGGAGTTGCCCAGCCAGGGCTGGTTACTGGCTACTAAAGTATAGTAAGTCCAAATCTCCAAAATGCAGCCCAGAGAGGAAAGTGGCTTGATATGGCCAGTGCAGGGTCCCACTCCCTTGGGGACGCTAGGCCAGTCCCCTTTGGCTTCCCCAGCCTGTGGGTCTCTGCAAAACCCAGAGAGACCATCAGCCCTACCTCCTGGCTGCCCTTCAGGACCCTGTAGCCTCCAGAGGGCTCCTCCAGTGTCCCCATATGCCCTCCACCTCCTGCCCCTGTGGCCAGGCCACACTCCCTAGGGCCAGTGGGGCAGCCTGAGGCAGACAAGACCGGAGCCTGGGTCTGCGGTGACTAATCGGCTGGTGTTTGGGAGGCCATGGTGAATTATTCACACAGATTCTGTGAATTATTCACGTTGTTATTATTTATTTTTCAGATGCGCCTGCAGCAGAGCCTCCAGGCCCATGTTCAAAGGATGACATAACTCCTGACTCCTGATCGCCTTTGTCTGTGGAGGAGGAGTCAGGCCTCTCTCCAGTCTCACCTGGGAGTCCCAGGGAGCAGGCTGAGGGCAGGGGGCTGCTGCCTTGGGGCAGGCTCCTGCAGGGCCCCAATCCTATCACCAATTAAGAAGTAACTGTCACCACTTACTGAGTCTTCGCTGGGCCCCAGCACTGTGCTCCCCATAGGCAGGCTCAAGTGAATGTCACAACTACCCTGTGAACAATACTGCCAACCCCATTTTACAGATGCTGGGACTGAGGCTCAGAGATGCCATGGCCCTTGTTCAGGGCCGCCAGTTAGGAACTGGGACTCAGGCCCAGGTCAGTGGACTCTAAAGCCAGCAGCAGCCACACTGCATGCATCAGTCAACGTTGCACCTGACCAGGTCCTACAGAATCCCTTTGCTGCCCCAACTTGCCCACCCCCACCTGCAAATCATGCTGAGGGCAGGCCACGCCCAGTGCCGCCAATGCTGTCAGAGGAGCCAGCTCCCCATCTCCATGGCGACAGGATTCTCAGCAGCCAGAGCTGAGCTGGATCTGCCTCTGAGGAGTGGAGGTGGCCTTTGCCCGTGGAGCCCCCCAGGTGTCTCAGGCTCTTAGCAAGTGTGATTCAGGGCTCCCCTAGGCACCCCATAGCTTCACAGAGCTCCCCTGCCTTCCCTCAGACACACACAGAGCCCCACTCCTCCCTCACAGAGCTCTGATGGCAGAAGCCATCCCCAGCCTCCGTTCTGTGCTCCTTCCCATGACACGCCTGCTGTCTAACCTCCATCCCCCTGGCTGCAGCTTCCTCTCCTCTCAGAATATTCCTTCCTCTGCCCCCATAGCTGCCATCTGGAGAAGACGAGATGGACATGTGGGCTCAGCCCTGGGAAGGCCCTGAGGGCCCCTTATCAAGGTGACCACAGTCTCACAGAGACACCTTCCTGTCCTGGGAGGGTGCCTTTGTCTTCCTGCCACCACATTCATTCATTCATTCATTCATTCAGTAAATGCCTACTGGGTGCCCTCATTCAATAAATACCTACTATGTGCCAGGCATTGTTCCAAGGGCTAGGGAAGTGGACAGCAGCAGCAGGGCTACCTTGTTAGGGCCCCTCCCATCCCATAGTAGCCTGGGCCTGATTCCCAGGACCTGTCTATCCTAGCATAAGCACAATCACAGGCAAACTGGATTTAAGCCTGACTCTTCCAGTCCCTGACTCTGGGTGACCTTGAGCTAGCAACTCCTCCTCTCTGCTTTTCCCCTTTTTAAAATAAGGGAGTGAGACCAGAATCTGCTTTCTAAGGCCCTGCCAGCCCTGCTTTTCTCAGGTGTCAGTAACTCAATAACTGGAACAACATAATCATTTCCATCCTACAGCTGTGAAAGTCAGAGCATTGCACGTGCTTCATCTCAGGTGGACTTAATAACTGTCCCTCTCTTCCCGGCTCTGTGCATTTTAAAGAGGAGTCTGGGGATGTCTGTGCTGCTAATGGTGGATTTCGGTTGCCAGAGAGGAAAGAAAACAAACATTTGCAGAATGCTTGTGCTTTCCTTGCAAATGTTCTTTATTAATCTTTGCAGAGGTAGAGTCCACTATCCCCGTTTTACACACAAGGAAACTGGGATTCAGGCCACACGGCCAGTAAGTAACAGGGCTGGGATTTGAACCCAGGCCCAAGACAACACATGCTCTTGCTGCTGGACCCAGCTGACTGAGCTGGGCCCTGGGGATGGAGTGTGGCTTCCTCTTCCAAAGCCTGTGTTGGAGCTGGAGGGAGGGCAACTAGGTCAGCACCTCTTCCAGGGAGTTGGGTGCCACTGATTTGATTTCCATCTTCTCCACCAACCAACGAGGGGACACCTTGGGCTCAGCTTGCTGAGATCCAAGGCCTGGGAAGTCCAGGTTTATATTTACCCCAAAGCAGCCACCTCGGCAGGGTTGGGACTGGATTTCCTCTTTATCTCAAAGCACCTGGACTAATTCCAGGTGGGCAGGCAGGTGGGGAGAGACCTTGGACTCTGGAATGCAGGGGCGGGGCCATCTCCTGCCCTTGCTGCACCCATACTCCTGGCCCAGTCAATGACCTTGCAGGCTGGATACCAGCCTGGGCCTTTCCCCAGTGGTCCTAGGGCAGAGTTCTCCAAGTGCAGTCCTTGGATCACCAGCATCTAAATGGGGAGTCAGGGAGGGGGGCTGCTAATAAAACCAGGTCCAATTTGCATATTCCTCTAGACCTCCAGAATTGGGCGTGGGGGGATCCCGCTCAATATAGCTTCCCCCATTCTGAGCATCCCTCAAGCTCAGAAACTGCTGTGCTAACTGCAGAGCCCAGGGTCTGGGACAATCCTGAGTTTGAGCCACCGACTAGTTAGGCAGCCTCTGACCAGGCGTTCACCTCTCTGGCTTCAGTTTCCTCATCTGTAAAATATAGATGATTCCTGTACCCTCCTTCATGGGGTTGTTATGAGGATCATACTGGACAATGTAGATAAAGTGCTAGATAAAGACACTATAGATAAAGGCCAGTTCAAATTACCATCAACCCTCCCTACTCATTCCATTCCCTTCCAAGCTGATGACCTGGGCCTGGGGCTGCAGTTCTGGGAATACTGAACTTGTCCAGCAGGTTTTGGCTTTCAGAGCTGCAGCAGGCAGCGTATCTAGTTAATCTCTAAACAAAACTTGCCCTCCAATCACAGTCATGTGTACCTGTTGGTCTCTCTCAAGGCTCCAGCTGAAAGTCAGCTCTCCAGACCTTTATCTTGGATAGATTGGAGTGGTATGGCCCTTGCTGGACCCAAGGTCAGATGTAGGGGTCAGAGAGGGCTGCCTTGTGGTCTCGGGGACAGAAGATCTTGGACCAGGCTTGTGATCTGAGACCTGAGAAGTGGCATGGCTGCTGAGGCAGCTACCATTTAGGGAGAACCTGAGTTCCAGGTAGCTTACATCCCCTATCACACTTCCTCTCACCTCTGGCTGGGGTAAATACTGTTACTGGTTCTATCTACCGATGACAAACCCAAGGCTCCGTCTTCTGCCTAAAGTCATTGAGCTGGTAAGTGGAAAAGCTGAGATTTGAACACAGATCTGCATGATTCCAAGGTTCCTGTTAGTGCCCAGTATGTGATACCACCTCCCTAAAGCATCACCATCATCATGATCATTGAGCACTTGGTGAGGGCCAGGTTCTGAGCTAAGCGCTCTATATGCTTTTTTCTCAGTTAACCTCCACAATCGCTCTCTAAGATAGATACTATTATTATTGTTCCCATCTTGCAGGGAGGGAAATCACCAGGCAGAAAGGCTAAGGACCTAAAATAACTTAGCTTGGCTCTTTCACTATTATATCTGGAGTCTAGGGAAAGTAGCTTTCCCAATTATTAATCTTCCATGATGGTGCTTTACCTCCAAGTACCCTTCTGCCTCACCCATGTCTGCAACCGTACCTTCTTTTGGGAGGTCTCCTTACCCCACCCATGCTCCCATCTGGCCCCGCTGAACCTGAGTGCAGGATTGCAGATGTAGGCCCCACTCTCACCTCCAAACAAGGAATTGCCCTTCCCACTGCCTCCAGGCCCACTGGGAACCTCCCCCTAATTGCATCTCAGGCTGGGAGGCTATTAGCCTGTGATTGCATCCCCAGTGCCTGCCTTCCCCCCTGGGTCTTCACTGTCAGCTTCCACAGGGGTTTGAGATGACGTCAATAACCCCCAATCCCAGGGCCTGGCCAGCTCTGCTCCCCAACACCCCCACCATCCAGTCCTAGGTGGGCTCCTCCAGGGAGCTGGGCCTCTTCCCTGTGGGCCAGCCAAGAACATGGGCCTGAGGAGGGTGCCCAGCCATGAATCACGCATGTCTGCACACACATCACAGGTCCTGCTGCTGCAGGATCCTCACACTGAACCTCTCCCCACTGCAACCCCTCTACACCTCCTGCCAGCTGCCTCCCCTCCACCATGGGAGGACAAGGGTCTGGGAGTTAGGACTCCTGGTTCTTTTCCTGGCTCAGATACTCCCTCTGTATGACCTTGGCCAAGTCTCTTCCACTGTCTGGGCCTTAAAAATAGAGGACTCTTCCAGGTATCGGGGCACATGCCTGTAGTCCTAGCTATTTGGGAGGCAGAGGCAGGAGGATCGCTTGAGTCTAGGAGTTCAAGGCAAGCCTGGGCAACATAGTAAGACTTTCTCTTAAAAAAAAAAGTGAGGGTGATTGGGAATCGTTTCAGTTTTCTCTATGCTTCTACTAGCAGAAAAGAAAGATTACCATTTGGTAATTCCTGGGATTTCCTTCCACCAATATCTAATGAGTCCTAGGCACCACGCCAGGCATTGAGGATTCTAGCAAGCAAGTTCCTGCCCTCACAGTTACAACACAGAGTGATCAGGCCTAGAATGGAAGAAGCACAGGCAATGGCGGTAGTGGTTGGGGGTGCCCGCAGTGGCCCTGGGGTACCTACCCAAAGGAGAAACGTTATCTAGCTTGGAGGTATAGTCTGAGAAAGCTTCCTAGTTTCTGAGACTGAAAGGATGAGGAAAAATTAGCCATATAAACAAGGATAAGGTATGGAGCTGGACATGAAGAATGTTCTAAGCAGAGGGAACAGGACTGAGAAGAAGCCTGGAGGCTTTGGTGTCAAGAGCAGAGGCTGGAGGGTGGACAGAGGCTGGCTTGAGAGTTTGGACTTTATTCTGAGGGCATTGAAGAACTATAGAAAGATCTTAGGTAGGAGGGTGATAGGACTGCTGTTTGGAGGGAGGATTGGGGCCCAGAGAGGAGAGGGAGAGAGACCTTCAGGGAGGCTACCAACCATCTGTCTTACCTCCCCCAAGTGTGGGAATACTCCCTCCTGTCTGTCTGTGTTAGAAGAGGTGGCCAGGCTTTGCTTCCTCTCCTTTCCCTCTACACCCCCACACTTCCCTCTCCTAAAGCTTACACACACAGGCACTCTCATACACATGTGCGTGCACACCACATGACCTGCTGCAGGTCCGCTGGAGGGGAAAGGGCGGAGGTGGCTTTGGGGAGGCGACACAGGGCCATCTGCCCCAAGGGAGCTAGAAGAGAAGGGGTCTGGAGGTTTGATACCCAACTGAAACTCCACTAGGGAGAGCACACTCCCTGTCACTTGGCGCAGTGACACCTTTCCCTTCTCCCCTCTCCCCTAAGGGGTTAATCCCATCCTGAGCCACGGAAACTGGAGCTGGGAGTTTCACCACCTTATCACCACCAGAGAGCCTCCAAGATCCTCCTTCCCCTCCTTTTCTCTCCTACTTCTCCCACCTCCTCCTTTTTCTCCTAGGTGCTCTCTAACTCCCTGCCTCCCTTCTACCAGGGCTCATCAGAGCCTGAAACATGCTGTGTGTGCATCTGCGTATAGATGTATGGGTTAGAGGGTGTGGTGTGCATGCAAGAAGCACAAGGAGGTACCCACCAGCCACCATCAGGAGGTGCACCAGAGGGCTGTGCAAGGCTGAAAGGGATTTCAGGAGGATTCGGAGATTAGAGAATTAAACATGCTGCTGCAGCCTCCCTTGAGCCTGGAATCCTTGTGGCTCCAGCTGCATAGAGAGCTCAGCTGGGCCAAGCCGGAGTTGCAGGGGATTCCTGGGCACCTTCTCTTTACCCTGCCTCCTGCTCCCCAAGGCTCCCTCAAGCCCCTTCCCAGACAAGGACCTGGGCCACAAGACGCCTCCGCCCCAGGGCCCAGATGTGCAAACCTTCCCTCAACCCCTGTGCCTCTTCCAGGCACCCTCCAGGGGTGGAGTGCTCAGGCCAGACTCTTCAGCCAGCAATCATCAGAATTCCAGCCTTGGCCAGGATCACTCCTGGAAGGCACATGTCCATTTTGCTCTGCCTCCACAGCCCAGGCCCATCGAGCTCCTCACTCTCCACCCTCACCCCTCTCCCTTCCAGTCCCCGCACTGAAACCAGGGATATGTTTCTGTAAGAACACCCATGTCACTGCTCTCCTCAGTGTCCTACAGTGGCTCCACACTGCCCTCAGGATGAAAGCCAAACTCCTCCGCTCTGGCCTCAGCTCCTGACTGCCATCCCCATTGCACAAGTTCCTCAGGTCCCTGCCTGCTGTCCCCTCCAGGCCTGGGCACTGATGGTCTCCACTCTCAGAGTCTCCGTCACTCATTCTCTCCAGGCAAATCTCTCTGTGTTCCTCAGGTCTCAGTTCAGAAGTCAGCTCCTGTTGAAAGCCTCTGACCACCACTGAGGCACCCCCTTTATGGGTATGGGTTGTCATGGCGCCCAGCACTTAGCCTGCCATAGCACTCTCCACACTGTACTGTAAATGCCTGTTGAACATATTCAGCCCCCACACCACTCTATCAATAAAAACTCAATCATGTATTCCAAGTGTATGAAGGAAGGCATGAGGCAGGAGAGAGGCGGGGTGGCAGTGCCATGCTGCAGACTTCAAGTGCCAAAGACACTACTGCATTTATGATAATAGTGGCAGCTATTATTGATTGTGTGTCAAGTCCACACCAGCCACTCTTCTAAGCATGAACTCATTTCTTCCCTCAGCAACCTTGAGAGAGAGGCATGATTGCTATCATTCCCATTTTATAGATAGGGAAACTGAGACTCAGAAGGATTAATTTACCCAAGGTTATACAGCCAGAAGGAAGTCTAGGCTAGATCTTCCTAAAGGCTGGGGTAGGGGCTTTAAGGTGGGTAAAATGCAGCCCACTGAAAAGGTCATGTATCACCTCTAGATCCTCAGTGGGCCTGGAGAAGAAATCACTGGAGCACCCCATCTTCCCCTCAAACCAGGAGACGTTCTGCTTCTCTGGCCATCTGGTGTGAGGTTCCTGAGGACCTAGGGGAAAAGTGTATGACCCTACCTTGGAACCTTCCAGGAGGTGTAAGAGAAGCAAGTCCCTCATGACGTCCTTGTTCTCACTAGTGTCTCTTTCAGAAGCAGGATTCTGAGAAGTCTGGAGTATGTCGCCTCATCATCATCAGGGCAGGAGGTAAGGTGCTGAATTTAATAGCAAAGCAAATTTTGCTGGAGAGGAAATGAGATTTCTTTGTCAAGGTGAGTGTGTCTGGGAGAGCCAGGAACAGGGTGGAGTGGGGGGATGGGGGCACTTTGGAGGGGCTGCAAAAGGGGAGTGTGGATCTGGAATTATTAGAATGTTGATTATGTCCTCTTGATTGTTAATGAAATTCTTCACCTTGGGTTTCTGGACCAGGGGGAAAGCTCCCAGAGCTCATTTTGCAGCTGATGAGAGCAAGAGAGAGGGCAGGAGGGGGCAGAAGACTCTCGGCTTAGGGAGAAATTAAATTCCTCCTAAACAAATGGAACTGGACAAGTCTGACCACCACCATGTGAAGGCAGAGCCCCGGGCTGACCTGAAGTCCCCTGTGGAAATGGGATGGAGACCCCTGGCTGGGTAGGGAGTAGCCCAGAGGCTTGACTCAGACAGCAGAGTGCAGCTCCAATAATAATAGCTGACATTACCGAGCACCTTCCATGTAGCCAGAGCAAACGAATGTGCATGTATGATCTCATTTAATCCTCCCAACAATGCTTGCAGATAGGTAGTATGATCGTTCCCATTCTGCAGATGACAACACTGAGGCACGGAGAGGACTGAAGCTTGTCCAAGCTCCCGCAGCTGGAAAGTGCAGGTGCCAGACTTTCAGCCCAGGCAGCCTGCACCAGCACCTATCCTTTGAGATTTGAAAGATGCTCCAGCTCTCCTACCTCCTTTTCTTTTTTTTTTAAGACAGGATTTCTCTTGCTCTGTCACCCGGGCTGGAATGCAGTGATGTGATTGTGGCTCACTGCAGCCTCAAACTCCTGGGCTCAAGCAATCTTCCCACTCATCTTCCAGAGTAGCAGGGACTAGGGGTGTGTGCTACCATACCTGGCTAATTTTTTTTATTTTTAATAAGTCAGGGTCTTGCCATGTTGCCCAGGGTGACCTCAAACTCCTGGCCTCAAGCGATCCTCCCACCTCAGCCTCCCAAAGTCCTGGGATTACAGGCATGAGCCACTAGGCCCAGCCTCTCCCACTTTCTTCACTACCTCCCTGAGCCTCAACTGCGTCATCTATAACATGGGGCCAGCAATCGTTGTCAACATGAAGAGCTGTTGTTAGCAGCCAGTGAAATAAAAATAAATTTAAAACAACTTAGTGCAGAAATAGCATTCCCTTTGAAGCCTTGCTCTCTGCCTCCCAAAATGGGAAGTGTCCCTTCTTATCTGGCTGGTTGAGCACCTATGACACAGAGGTGCTTGTTCTAGGCACTGGGAATAGAACAGTGAACAAAATGGACAAAAACCCCTGCCCTTGTGGAACTTACAATTAGTGGGAGACAGACCATAAACAAGACAAATAAGTACATTATAACCTATATTAGAGATGGTAAATACAATAGAACAAAACGAGGCAACAGAGGAGGGGTTGGAGCGCTGATGGGGAGGGTTGCAGTTCAAACAGGGCGGTCTGAGTTGGTCTCACCAAGAAAGTGTCTTGAAGGAAGCAAAGGAGCGAGCAAATATTTGGGGGAACAGCGCTGCTCAGGAAGAGGAAACAGCAGTGCAAAGGCTCTGAGGTGGGACTGCACCTGTCGTGTTACAGGAACAGCAAGGAGGCCAGAGTAGCTGTGTTAGCAAAGGTAGCATAGTAGGAATCAGAGTCACAAATCCCGGAGGAAGTGCAGCTCGTGTAGGGTCTTGTTGGTCTTTGTAAGGACTTTTAGCTTTTATCTGAATGAGACAAGAATCTGTCAGAGGGTTTTAGGCATGATCTGATTGATGTTTTAAAGGTATTGCTGGGACGGTGATATTGAGACTAGACTATAGGGGGCCAAAGGCAGAAGCAGAGAGGAGAGTTAGGAAGCTATTACAAAAACCCAGGTGAGAGTAGGTGGCAGCTTAGTTCAGGGAGGTAGTGACGGAGGCGATGCTGAGAGGTCTGATTCTGGATGTATTGCGAAAGGGAAAGCCCCCAGGATGAGCTGATCATCAAAAGTGAGGAATGGGAGAAAGAAGGAATCACCGCGGATAATTCTGAGGATTTTACCCTCTCCACCCTCAGTTCCTGAAGACCCATCCCTTCCTTTTAAAATCCGGCTCTGGCCGGGTGCAGTGTCTCACGCCTGTAATCCCAGCACTTTGGAAGGCCAAGACGGGCAGATCACGAGGTCAAGAGATCGAGACCATCCTGGCCAACGTGGTGAAACCCCATCTTTACTAAAAATGCAAAAATTAGCCGGGTGTGGTGGTGCGCACCTGTAGTCCCAGCTACTCAGGAGGCGGAGGCAGGAGAATTGCTTGAACCTGGGAGGTGGAGGTTGCAGTAGCTGAGGTCGAGCCACTGCATTCCAGCCTGGTGACAGAGCCAGGCTCCGTCTCAAAAAAATAAATAAATAAATAAAATTCCAGCCTTCTCTCTCAGGGCTCTTTTGGAGACCCACTGCTTTCATCCCTCTCTCTTTCCATTGTCCAGGCATTTGCCTTACAGAGCCCGGGGCAGAGGACCATGGTCAAACAACTTGACTCAGGGTATAAATCTGCCTCATGGCCTTCTGGGGCTCCCCCAGTCCTTACCCTGGCTCAGAAGGTCCCATCGCAGTCTGCTGTCCACCTCAGCAGCTCCTCGAAGTCCCTTGCTCCTCCTGACTGCAGTACCCCTTTTCTTGCTCCCTGGAACTGGCTCTGCTCTTCCGTCTTAACCAGCTGCCCACCATGCTGCCCTCAGATCTCAGTGGGAGCATCACCACACCTGGGAACCCTTCTCTGACCTGCTATTCTGGAGGAAGCCCCTGATTCCAGGCTCTCAAGCCCTGAGCCTCTACCACAGGGTTGCGTGTCTCTTTCCTTGTGTGATTATTTGATGAAAGCCTGTCTCCCCATGTGACTATAACTTCCATAAAAGCGGGGCCCACCCATCGCTAGAAGCAGACAATTCACCAAAAGAGACATTCAGTGAATCTGACATGGATCCTTAGGCTTTTGGTAAATTAACTTTCATTGACCTAAAGCCTCCAGCTGCTAGGTAAATATCTGGCACATAGCAGGTACTTAACATATATTTATTGAAGGAATGAATCAGAGTTCTCTAAGATCTTGGGCATGTGACAAACTTCTTGAGCCTCAGTTTCCCCATGTGTAAGGATGGGAATAAGAATACCTATTTCATGAGTCGTTGTGAGAATTTAAAAACCTACGGCATGAGCAATGCCTCACACTAGTAGATGCTCAATAACTGTTCCAGTGCATGGTTCAGACAATTACCACCTTACAACTCCCCTGTGCTTCCCCTCCCCTCCCCCTCTGCCTCCCATCCCTCCTTCCATTCCCCAACCTCCTCCCCTCCCCACCCTTCCCCTCCTAAGGACTCCCAGATGTGGAATCACCAAAGCCTCCGAACGTTCCCCTTTTCCCCCAAGATCCCCCAATGCGCCACTGGTTACATATTGATCCTGTTTAACTTTCCCAATGGATGATAAACATGAAATTAAAATGACTTCCTGGAATATTAATGTAGTAAATGGCCCTATTAAAAGAAAGAAAATACAGCTGAGAAAATTCGCTTTGATGTAGCGTTTCTGCAGGAGGCTCATTTATCTGCAGCTCAGACTCTCGAAATGAGATTCTGAAGGTTTCTCTGATGTCTCTTATTTTTCCCTCACCCAGAATTTAAACAGAAAATAGAATCACAAGCTAGTGTCATAAAACTTGGGCCTTTTCCCTTCTCCACCAAAAAGCAAATGAAAACAGGGCCAGGTAGATGTCAGTCTCTGCAAACATGGGGCTGAGGACTCACCTGCTCCTCCCAATCTCCTCTGTATCTCGCTCACTGGGGCCTGGTCCAGGCTGCCAGGCCAGCCGCCTGGATTCAGCAGGGGTTCCCAGAAGCCTGTGCTGCTACTGCTGCTGCTGAAGTTAGGACTTCAGACTCAGAGCCGGGTGCAGTGGCTCACGCCTCTAATCCCAACACTTTGGGAGGCCGAGGCGGGTAGATTATCTGAGGTCAGGAGTTCGAGATCAGCCTGGCCAACATGGTGAAACCCCGTCTCTACTAAAAATACAAAAAAAAAAAAAAAAATGGGCATGGTGGCAAGACACCTGTAATCCCAGCTATTCAGGAGGCTGAGGCAGCAGAATCACTTAAACGCAGAAGGTGGAGGTTGCAGTGAGTGGAGATGGCACCACTGCACTCCAGTCTGGGTGACAGAGGGAGACTTTATCTCAAAAAAAATAAAATAAATAAAAAATAGGCCAGGCGCGGTGGCTCACACCTGTAATCCCAGCACTTTGGGGGGCCAAGGTGGGTGGATCACCTGAGGTCAGGAGTTCGAGACCAACCTGGCCAACATGGGGAAACTCCGTCTCTACTAAAAATACAAAAATTAGCCGGGTGTGGTGACATGAACCTGTACTCCCAGCTGCTCAGGAGGCTGAGGCAGAAGAATCGCTTAAACCCGGGAGGTAGAGGTTGTAGTGAGTCGAGATCATGCCACCGCATTCCAGCCTGGGTGACAGAGCAAGACTCTGTCTCAAATAAATAAATACAAATTTAAAAATAAAATTTAAAAAAGGAAAGGTGACTCAGGACCCCAGGAGGCTGTTCTCCAATGTGGGTAAATACTCTAGGTTTGGTGTACTTGAAATCTTGGTTCTCTCACTTGTTAGCTATATGTTCTTAAAGTACTGCACCTTTCTGGGCCTTGGTTTTCTCATCTGTAAGATGGGGATATGAGTGCCTCGCTCACAAAGCAGTTCAGAAAAGTAAATGAGATCATATATCTTGCATGTGGCAGGTGCTCAATATTGTAATCATTTGTTACCATTATTACAAATGATAACTCGTGCTGTCACTATAATCATTCAGGCCTAGGCTGAGATGTCACTTCCTCCAAGAAATTTTTCTGACCCCTAGGCTGGGTCATGTGCTATCTCTGGGTGACCACAGCCCTGAGCTTCTCCCATCCCAGGCTGGTGACTTCCCTGCCTCTTCCAGCAGCCTGTTTATTCCATGAAGGCTGGCCCGGGTGTTGCTCATAATCGTGTACCGGCAACACATGGCGGAATTCGAATGTCTTGGAGTCAGAGCCAAGGTGCTCTGGGTGATATCCTATCCCCACCTGGCATTGTTGTGACCTAGGGTCCTTCCATGCAGCCATAAGAGCTCCAAATGCCCAGCTTGGCAACAGCTGTCCATCCACCTTCTGCAGCCCTGGGGTCCCTTCTCTGCACCTTCCCTAGGTCTCACCTTGATTCTGTTATGCCCATTCCTTCCTCCCCAGGCTCAGAGAGGTGACAGACAGAGCATTCAGATAAGGTCCTTTGGGATTAACTCTTCCTTTCTTTCCCCCTTCTCTCATCTGACTCCCAGCTTCCCGCTCTCCACAGCAACTTCTGCTGACATTCTCAGTCTCCCTCACCTGGGTTTGGCCCTGTGGGCAGGTGGAAGGGTACTGCATGCCTATTGCCTGGGCTGACTCTCCTGGGTGCCTAAGGTGGGCCCACAACTTCCCTAGCCACATTCCTGTTACCTGCAATTCAGGCTCTTTTTGCCCTTTCCGATTGCCAGAAGGGGCTCAGGACCCTTTTCTGGAACCAAGAGAGCACCCTGCTCCTTGAAGGCAGCCAGGACCCTGCCATAGTGCTTCTGAACCATTCACAGTCCAGCCCCAGCCTCATGCATGTGCACACACAGCCTCACACTCAGATCCGCAGTCACAGGATCTCTGTTCTCCACAGCCACAGGCAAGAAAGAAGAGGACCCCCTGTGGATGAGGGGCAGGGGCAGAAGGCTTTGGAATATCAGCTTGCCTCCTGGGGGCACTGTCCCCTAGAGACTCCTCCCCAGCCAGCCCACGGCCCCCTAGCAGGAAAATGAGAAGCTGGAGCAGAGGGGTTAATTTGGGGAAAAGCAGCAGCTGCTTGAAACAGGGAGGGTAGGCCCAAGGCAAGAGCTGTTCCTGCTGAGGCAATGATTGTGAGGGATACTAGGGCTGGGGCCACCTGCACGCCCCCCAAACGCCCTCACCCCCAGGCAAGTTATCTGCTTGGACACCCCCCACCCTCACACACACACACATAAAGAAGCATCATAACCATCTGGGCATAAGACGCAGTCCCTTCCACACAATTACACAAGCGCTGCAGTCTCACTCTTGTGGCTCAGGCTGGAGTGTAGTGGCACAATCTCAGCTCACTGCAACTTCCACCTCCCGAGTTCAAGTGATTCTCCTGCCTCAGCCTCCTGAGTAGCTGGGATTATAGGCTCCGGCCACCATGCCCAGCTAATTTTTGTACTCTTGGTAGGTGGGGTTTCGCCATGTTGGCCAGGCTGGTCTCAAACTCCTGACCTCAGATGATCCACCCGCCTTAGCCTCTCAAAGTGCTGGGATTACAGGCGTGAGCCACCGCACCCGGCCTGAGGATAAAACTCTTTGGAAATTTCAGAGATGCGAGCTGCAGGCAGCCCTGGCACTCAGAAGCCCGAAAACACACACACACACACACACACACACACGGCTACAACTTTTTCCAGTCTCTGTATCAGGATGTCAGTCTCTGTTTGGCGTGCCAAGGTGACCCCCATCACTGCACAAGGGCAGAGGACTCCTCCCTGTGAAAATGAGAGTTGGGAGCTGGCTGCCTTTAGACCTGCTGGCGTCTCCTTACTCCTGGAAACTACACGTTACATAACATCACACACAATAAAACACAACCAGGTCCCACGTTACCTCTGACTTGTATATAGCCCTGTGAGCACCTCTGCAGTTGGCATAATGTTAGGTTTTTGTAGGCATTTAATTAAGCATTTGTGCCTTGTATTTCTTCATCTGAGTTCTGGTTGTATTTGAGGTCATTGAAAATTTTCAGCAGAACCCTTAAAAGCCTTTAGGGCTTGCGTCTTGGATTTATGATGGGCGATGGACAACAGGGCCCTAGTGAAAGGGGTGGTGGACATGGGGTTGGGGGAACGTTGCCACTGGGAGCCCAAGTCCGCTTTGGTGACAGCAAGCATGGATAAGCCAAGGGCTCACAGGCAGGACACCCTTTGAGGTCCTAACTCGATTGCCACCAGTAACCATCTCTCTTGGAGCCAGAGAGAAATCAAAGTGAGCTGTGGGCCCAGCAGCTCCTACACTGAGACTGAGACTGAGACTGAGACTCTACCTACATGATATTGACCAAAAGACCACACCTGGACACTGTGTGCAGGCACCAACACACAAATACACACAGGCCCCAGCACACACACTCTGATATGCACATCCTCAATGCCTGGACACATACCCCAACTAATAGCCATTACCCCAACGACTAGGCACACATCTGGACACACTCCCCAGCAGACCAGCTCACCCCACACCCCCCAACACAGAGATCCACACAGAGTGGCACAGAGGTACCCCTTAGGCAAAGCTGTGGATGGACACCCACTCCGTCACTTGTGTCCACACACCAAGACATACCAGGCATATAATTACAGACACCCACATTTGAACACCCTCCCTCCTGCTGCTTTTCACACCCACCCACACATGCTCCCTGCCCTGTCATGGGGAGACAGAGCATCTCAGCCCCAAAGAGCCCAAGGGTCCTGATTAACAGGAAATTCTACGAATGACAATTAGAGCAAAGTTTACTGAACAAATTGTTTGCAGTTATGCCCCGGAACCATCATGAATTTTAATCTTGCATTGATTTGCACTGATGTGAGGTTTGCAGATGGCAGGGCCTTTGGTGCCTCCTGCCCCTCCCACCCATCTGGGAGGAGTCATCACCCAGCCTCAGATGCAGGAGCTCTGGGGGCAGGCTTCAGCCTCTACCAGTCCAGAGGCCAGCACCACCAGCCCAACTGAGAGAGACCCAAGATGCCCAGAAGATGGGCAAGAGTTTTAGAAACATACATGTTATGGATGAAGAAGACCGTACTCCTTCTTTCCTTCTTTCCTTCTTTCCCTCCTTCCCTCCTTCCCTCCTTCCCTCCTTCCCTCTCCTTCCCTCTTTCTCTCTCTCTCTCTCTCTCTCTCTTTCTTTTTTGACATGGAGTCTCATTCTGTGACCCAGGCTGGGGTGCAGTGGTGTGATCTCGGCTCACTGCAGTCTCTGCAACCTCTATCTCCTGGTTCAAGCAATTCTCCTGCATCAGCCTCCCAAGTAGCTGGGATTACAGGCGTGCATCACCACACTCAGCTAATATTTGTATTTTTAGTAGAGACGGGGGTTTCACCATGTTGGCCAGGCTGATCTTGAAGTCCTCACCTCAAGTGATCCCCCACCTCAGCCTCCCAAAGTGCAGGGATTACAGTTGTGAGTCACCGTGCCCAGCCAGACCCTACATTTTCAAGAACACCAGTAATCTGAGGAAAGGGCCAGAGGCCTGGAGCCTCTCGATTTGGACACAAAAGCAAGATCACAATGTGGCAGAGATACAGAGTCAGGCGCAGATGTTGTGATAGTTCTACTACTGCCTCAACCAACATAACTGCCAGTATGTTTATAATCTCAGTCCAAAGGACCTCTTCCAAAATTAATTTGTCTTCCTCTCCCTTCCACCAAGCTCTTTTCTCAAACCCTTCCGTAGTTTCCTGTTACTTAAAAAAAAAATCCGGCCAGAAACGGTGGCTCACACCTGTAATCCTAGCACTTTGGGAGGTCGAGGCGGTCGGATCACCTAAGGTCAGGAGTTTGAGACCAGCCTGGCCAACATGGCGAAACCCCATCTTTACTAAAAATACAAAAATTAGCTGGGTACGGTGGGGCGAGCCTATAATCCCAGCTACTCAGGAGGCTGAGGTAGGAGAATCACTTGAGCCTGGGAGGCAGAGGTTGCAGTGAGCCGAGATCATGCCACTGCACTCCAGCCTGGGCCACAGAGTGAGACTCCATCTCAAAAATAAATAAATAAATAAAAATAAAAAATCCTTGCCTGATCTTCATCCACCCCCAATCATCTAACCTATACCTCCTCCTCTCACTCCTGCCCCTCTTAT